GGCACGCGCCACCACGCCCACCTGATTTTTTGTATTTTTAGTAGAGACGAGGTTTCACCATGTTGACCAGGATGGTCTCGATCTCTTGACCTCATGATCCACCCGCCTCGGTCTCCCAAAGTGCTGGGATTACAGGCTTGAGCCACCGCGCCCGGCATCACGTCTGTTTTTAAAGGTGAGCACAGTCACCTGCAATACAGACTGCATTTCCGGTCCACATTGCAGCTAGGGGCAACCTTGTGATGGAGTCTTATCTGATGAGATAGGACTAGCAAACAGGTTGCTAGTCAATGTTTAACAGTCAGTTCTGGGGGAGGGGAGGAGAATGAATGGGGGAAGCCCTGATTTTTAATGTTTGCCGGTTGCCGTGGTACGAATACTCTCACCTTGGCTATTTCAAGCTCTCACCTTGATGGCAGTAAATATGGAGAGGTGCAGCTCTCACAAGTTGGTACCGACGGATTCCAGCACATCGCTGGAGGTAAGGAAGTGCTGTACGTGATTTCTGGGAGATGTCCTTAAAGGAGAAGGCATGTCTTAAAGGGTCGGGTATGCCCTTTGCCCTTTCCTCCTCCTGGCTGGCAGGGAGGTAGATGTCATTGGTGGAACTCCGGCCATCATACTGGACCAGAAGGAACAAGTTGTATGTTTAGGAATGGTGGCATCAAGACAGAGAAGCGGCCTTGGTCCCTGATGCTCACGGAACCAGCCCTGGGAAGTTTACCTGCAGAGTTCATTTGCATGGAAACTGAACTAAAGGAAAACGTCCTTCTTACAATCACAACTGCTATTTTGAGTTTTCCCATTCACAGTGGAAACTATCCCAACTGAGGGCATCATACATGCTGTACAAGATGTCTGACAAAAACTACAATTTTTATCTGGTAGAATCTTAAAGGTTTCAGATTTGAAACAACATCATCTGACCCTTTCTAGAAGGCACAAAGGATGGACAGAGAATAAAAGGTAGGAAAAAAAAATTGTGCTTAGCTGTTACACCTCAAAATACGCCAAGCACCTTCCAGGGCACAGGCAGGAAGAAATAAGCACAGAGCAAGGCCAGCAATTATATAAATATCAGTAAGGAAAGCAGAAAATAGAGAAAAGTAACTTGAAAGTAATTCCTCTGCCTCAGCTCCTCCTCTCTGACCTACAGATCCATGGGGAAGGACAAGCTAGCCTATATCAACACCTTCCTCCTTGGATGCGTGCGTCCAGCTCACAAATCCACGAACCAGGGGCTCAGGGAGGACTCTCCCGCCAAGGGCAGTCTAAATTCTCTGCCTGAGAAAGAAAGATTGTTCTCAGACATCTTTCTTCTAGAGCTTGATTCCCAGGCTGAGAAATGAGAACTATATAAGGTCACGTGGGGAACTAAGTTGACTCAGACGCAGCATTCAGGCAATTCAGTCCGTTCTGGCTTTCCAGATTTGACAAAAAATGTATTACTCAGGCATAGCCTGCCTTGGTTTTTTTTCTTTTTCATTTTTTTGATTTTTTTGTTTATTTGTTTTTTGTTTTTTGAGAGGGAGTTTCGCTCTTGTTACCCAGGCTGGAGTGCAATGGCGCGATCTCGGCTCACCGCAACCTCCGCCTCCTGGGTTCAGGCAATTCTCCTGCCTCAGCCTCCTGAGTAGCTGGGATTACAGGCACGCGCCACCATGCCCAGCTAATTTTTTGTATTTTTAGGAGATACGGGGTTTCACCAGGTTGACCAGGATGGTCTTGATCTCTTGACCTCGTGATCCACCCGCCTCGGCCTCCCAAAGTGCTGGGATTACAGGCTTGAGCCACCGCGCCCAGCCACTTTTTTTTCTATGTGTTGTACACTGGGCACATGATAAAGGTAAAATAATTCCCCTTCAAATATAGGCAAAATTTAATGTTACACATTAACTCCTCTGAAAAGTTAAATGCTATATAAATAGAAGATAATAGTGTCATAAATTAATTATTATTTTTGAAATAAGGTTTGCACAGGTCAAACAGGCAACTCAGCAGTGATAACTGAGCATCTGTGATGCTACAAAACATGTGTCACTAGCCAGGCGCGGTGGCTCAAGCCTGTAATCCCAGCACTTTGGGAGGCCGAGGCGGGTGGATCACGAGGTCAAGAGATCGAGACCATCCTGGTCAACATGGTGAAACCCCGTCTCTACTAAAAATACAAAAAATTAGCTGGGCATGGTGGCACGTGCCTGTAATCCCAGCTACTCAGGAGGCTGAGGCAGGAGAATTGCCTGAACCCAGGAGGCGGAGGTTGCAGTGAGCCGAGATCGCGCCATTGCACTCCAGCCTGGGTAACAAGAGCGAAACTCCGTCTAAAAAAAAAAAAAAAAAAAAAAAAAAGGCCGGGCGCAGTGGCTCAAGCCTGTAATCCCAGCACTTTGGGAGGCCGAGGAGGGTGGATCACGAGGTCAAGAGATCGAGACCATCCCGGTCAACATGGTGAAACCCCGTCTCTACTAAAAATACAAAAAAAAAAAAAATCAGCTGGGCATGGGGTGGTGCGTGCCTGTAATCCCAGCTACTCAGGAGGCTGAGACAGGAGAATTGCCTGAACCCAGGAGGCGGAGGTTGCGGTGAGCCGAGATCACACCATTGCACTCCAGCCTGGGTAACAAGAGTGAAACTCCGTCTCAAAAAAAAAAAAAAAAAAGAAAAAAGAAAAAAAAAAAAGTGTCACTATGCTCACTCTGTGGGGATCCTACAGGGATATTTGCCATTCACTCTTTATCCAAAGAGTCTCTGACTATGCATTTACTTTGCTTCAGACCCTTGGCAACTTCAGACCAAAGGACTCCTGCAGTCAGCCTGATTTTCAGTCCCTCCTCACCAACTATGCCCTACCTTTCTCTCAACAAAAGTAATGCTAAAAAATGAACTTAGCCTGATGTGGGGAGTGGGGAGATTCTTGAAGGAAACAGAAAGAGCAAGTCAGCAAGAAGAGAAAAATTTCCCTGATGGAGGCATACACAAACACATGAACACCTGTGGGAGACTGGGTTACGAAAGCAGGTAAATAAAGCATAGTCTCGTTCTTAGATAAAACCTAGGCAAGAACGACATTTCTAATCATATATCTTCCAGAATCCTGACAGTAGTTTGCATTTAGAGAGTCAAACATCTTTAAAAAGATTTGCAGATTCTTGCTGCAAACATGTAAGGACTCACCTTTACCACTCTTTCTTTTTTTTTTTTGAGATGAAGTCTCGCTCTGTCGCCCAGGCTGGAGTACGGTGGCTCACTGCAACCTCATCCTCCTGGGGTCAAGTGATTCTCCTGCCTCGGCCTCCCAAGTAACTGGGACTACAGGAATGCACAACCATGCCCGGCTAATTTTTGTACTTTTAGTAGAGAGGGGGTTTCACTATGTTGGCCAGGCTGGTCTCAAACTCCTAACCTCATGATTCACCCTCCTCAGCCTTCCAAAGTGCTGGAATTTTAAGTGTGAGCCACAGTGCCCGGACACCTTTATCACTCTTAACTCAGGCGTCCAGGCATTGGAGTTAGAACTGTCTACGTTCACATCCTAGACCTGGCATTTACCAAGTTTAACAAACTGTGTGCCTGGCCTCAGTTTCTCCAGAAACTTACAGAATTAGACTTTCACATAAAGCACTTATGTGAAAGGTCTGCAAAAAACAATTTTCTCCAAATCAGAGCTACGTACATTTGAGGGTTGAAAAATTTTATGGCTGCTGTTGATACGCAACCAAAACTAAAATTGATTAGGTTGGTGGCAGAGTTTGAAATTATAAAAAACTGAAATGAACCAATACACATTACACAAATCCACACTTGAAGCATCTTGGTCTCCAAAAGAGAAAAATGAGATAAGCCTGGACAAAATCTAACACTGCTCTTATGGCAAACTCCTTCTCCACTTTCAGGCCTCTATTCACTACCTCCATTCTCTGCACCCCAAAAACAGCACTCCTGTTCTCTTGGGCAACAGAGCAATTTCTGCCATTTTCCTCTTCTTTTTTTTTTTTTTTTTTTTTTTTTTTTGAGACGGAGTTTCACTCTTGTTACCCAGGCTGGAGTGCAATGGCGCGATCTCGGCTCACCGCAACCTCCACCTCCTGGGTTCAGGCAATTCTCCTGCCTCAGCCTCCTGAGTAGCTGGGATTACAGGCACGCGCCACCATGCCCAGCTAGTTTTTTGTATTTTTAGTAGAGACGGGGTTTCACCATGTTGCCCAGGATGGTCTCGATCTCTTGACCTCGTGATCCACCCACCTCGGCCTCCCAAAGTGCTGGGATTACAGGCTTGAGCCACCGCGCCCGGCTGCCATTTTCCTTTTCAATGGAGGCCTGACATCTGTAGACTACCTGTATTATCACACTGGCACACTGGCCAAATTCTAAAGGGAGGCTTGAAACTTTGTGAAATGAGCCTACCTCTGCAAAATAAGCCCAACTGCAAAGAAGTCTATTCTTGGTAATTCAATTTATATGTGGTTAGGTTAATAATAAAATTGTTTAAAAACTGTATAGTCAGAAAATATCGAAGCAAGAATATTTGTCCTTCAAATATAATTCTGATTAAAAAGGAAGAGAACGGCTTACAAAATCTAATAATTAATCTCCTTAACAAGTGAAACAGAAGGAATCTTCGTCAGTAGTTTGGAGGATGCGAGGTAAAGCGTGGGAAACAGCTTGTAAAGGGAGGGTGTGAGCTGATTGGGGGGCCGGGGTACGCTAATCCTTAAACAGGAACAACTAAGGAAAGATGAACGTGGGTTTAAAACGTCCCGATTTGGGAGCAGTGCTGACCATCATCAAGACTCTGCAAACTTTTGAGCCAACCAGTTATGCGGCATCTAAATTAATTTGGTAGGTTTTTAAGTGTCAAAGAAATGACTACTAGAAATTGCGGTTATGCACAAATGCTATGAAATTTTCCTGAGTAAATACATCTTTCATCTCTTGGGGTATATACTGAACCAGCTGAGCTGAAGCTAAAAGCCAGACCAGAAGCAAGAAAATAAACTCACCTGTCAAACTCGTCAAAGAGATCACAACTCTGCAGTTTTGAAAGAGCAAGTCGAAAGTATTCCGCTAGAAAACAAATAGAGAGTTATGAATACAAGGAGAATCATGTCTTTTTAGGACTTAGTAAACCACCTTACTCCCTTCCCCACAAACCCAGTTCCAAGCAGCATGGTCACATGGATTTATTCTGTGAAAAATTAATAATACAACTACAGTTAGCCAGCACTACTCAGTAGGCCCATTCAAAATGGTAAATGTTCCAAAGAGGCTTTCCAAAACCTCCCCCAAAAACAATGCATTTCATCTGAAAAATAATCATAAAAAGTAATTTTAAAGTCATAGCAGATGATTCTGAAATTGACATTAGAATAGAAATAAATAGTAAGTTTAAGCTAATTAAATTCTCAAATTCTGTGTAAAATATTTTTAAAATACAAAACAAAACAAAAAATGCAACCCCCACCCTCCAAGATCAGCTGAATAAGCAAAATTCAACTCATAATGTTGTACTTGTCACCTCGGGCTTTTATGGTCTCTCAAAAATCTAGAGCTTAATGCTATATAGGGCCAATCAGTTATCAACAAGCAGAAGGGAAAGTGTTTTACCATTAGAAGATGGAATAATTATCTCTCAACTTCACAAATATAAAGGCCAGGCACGATGGCTCACGCCTGTAATCCCAGAACTTTGGGAGGCCGAGGCAGGCAGATCACGAGGTCAAGAGATCGAGCCCATCCTGGCCACCATGGTGAAACCCCGTCCCTACCAAAAATACAAGAATTGCCGGGCGCGGTGGCTCAAGCCTGTAATCCCAGCACTTTGGGAGGCCGAGGCGGGTGGATCACGAGGTCGAGCGATCGAGACCATCCTGGTCAACATGGTGAAACCCCGTCTCTACTAAAAATACAAAAAATCAGCTGGGCATGGTGGCGCGTGCCTGTAATCCCCGCTACTCAGGAGGCTGAGGCAGGAGAATTGCCTGAACCCAGGAGGCGGAGGTTGCGGTGAGCCGAGATCGCGCCATTGCACTCCAGCCTGGGTAACAAGAGCGAAACTCTGTCTCAGAAAAAAAAAAAAAAAATACAAGAATTAGCTGGGCGTGGTGGCGCCCGCCTGTAGTCCCAGCCACTTGGGAGGCTGAGGCAGAAGAATTGCTTGAACCGGGGAGGTGGAGGTTGCAGTGAGCTGAGGTCTCGCCACTGCATTCCAGCCTGACACCTGACACCTGACAAAGCAAGACTCTGTCTCTAAATAAATAAATAAATAAATAAATAAATAAATAAAATATCCACTAGTTAAATTAAAAGGCTGCTTAAGCAGATAAGAATTGCTGATGAAGTAAAACGAAACAAGTAAAAAGAATCCATGGGAAGCTAGGAAGGAAGCTAACGCTCAGGTTTTCCTGCTAACTCTAAATCAGAATAAAACAAGGCACCAGAACTTACATGGACCACTTACTTGGCGGCACAGCAAATGTCAAAAGTAGTTTCTCAACGACAACAACAAATCTACCCCTTTTACCCTTTGCTTCGCTACTGCCTCAAAAGGAGTGGGAATTTATATTTTAAAATGTAATTCATTTCATTCCATCCCAAAATCATATCCTTTGGAAATCATTAGAAGGAGAAAGAATAAAAGCCCTTAAAATTATATTAACATGCCATTCTCATCAAACACCGTTCAAATTTAACGGAAGCAGGTAAGAATAATTCTACTGACCTGATGTTCTCATCCCATAGGGCAAATCAAACTTATCGCTACCATACAAGGAAGCAACCTTTCTAAAATCAGCTGCACAGAGAAAAGGGTGAAACTGATCAAACCTGGAAGGAAAGGATAAAGAATGATTTTGTCAAATACCTACTATCTTTGCAAGTTTTTAAAATCAAAACTCAAAGTAACTTTACATATAATTCATACTGTTATACTGCGTATATGAAAATGTATATTGTTTTAAATTTTTACAAGTAAGTTTAAACAGTGCTGAAATATTGCATAGAATGGGGTATGCAATGGAACTAGCAACTGAAAACACTTTACAACTACTAAAATGAAAATTACATTACAACTCAGGAAGTAAAAACAAAACTTAAAAACAAACCAATACCAAGTGATAACATAATAGCCATATACAGGAGAAAACAAAGTAATATTATAAAAATACTGATGCTACACTATTTCTAAATTTAAAAGTACCATATATGTGAAGTTGTAATCAGCTGTGACAAGTATGGGGTCACTTAACCCATAAATGACAAAGCTGAAATTCACACCCAAGCCTAATGCTAAAGAAAGATGTCTTTCTAACGCTAACAGCTGCAGGTTTCCCAAAAGAGCGTCTCCAAATTGCTGCTGGTTTTTCTGTTTCTGAGAAAGTGGCCTCAAGTCCACTCTAGGGGAGTGCCCTCAGATAATACTGTCCACATGACAAACACCAATCTACTTGTTACTTACACTATAGACTTATACACCCTGCTAAGTAATCTTGCACAAATACTTTAATCCTTTCGGGTTTTCTCAGAAAGGAAAAGCTATCTTTTTTTTCAATAAAGTTCTGGAGTACCTTAATTCTAGAGCAGCATTTTAATCTGCAGTCTGTAACCCATATGTGCCTCATAAAATCAGTTTTGGGAGTCATGATCAGCATCTTTTAAAAAAGTGAATGGAGGCCGGGCACGGTGGCTCAAGCCTGTAATCCCAGCACTTTGGGAGGCCGAGGCGGGTGGATCACGGTCGAGATCGAGACCATCCTGGCCAACATGGTGAAACCCCATCTCTACTAAAAATACCAAAAAAAAAAAAAAAAAAATTAGCTGGGCGTGCTGGCCTGTGCCTGTAATCCCAGCTACTCAGGAGGCTGAGGCAGGAGAATTGCCTGAACCCGGGAGGTGGAGGTTGCAGTGAGCCGAGATCGCACTACTGCCCTCCAGCCTGGCGAGAGTGAGACTCTGTCTCAAAAAAAAAAAAAAAAAAAAAAGTGAATGGAACAGAACACAGTGTATCTGGAATAGTAAAGGAGTAGTAAAGGTAAAAATTACTTTTTTCTTATTACAAATATGTGTTTGCACTAGGTCCCAAATAAAATGTATTTCTTCCTATGAGTCACGGTCAACAATTTTTAAAACACGATTCCAGTTTCGTGGTGGTCCTCACTGAACACACAGCCCTGCAAAGACTACGAGCCGCCATAGCATACTCAGAATCATACACAAAAAAGTCTTATGTATTTGCAGTTTTCCAGAAAGTTGACTGACTGCAAAGGGACCTGTAGTCCCAAAGAGTTAAAAACCATAATAAAAAGGCGCAGTAATAAAATAGGGAAAAAAAAAATGAATCCTTAATGCTTCATAGAAAAAATGCTGAACAGATTGTGCCTGTTTTGCACAATTAAACATGCCTAGAACAGACTTTTATTTCCTGTTATCTAGAGTATTTTGACCAGCAATCTGTCAAAGTCAAGGTGAGGAGGAAAATAACAAATGTGAACAGAAGAGCAATTTTTTACAAAGCCCAAGAGCCACAATACATAATCATTGACATTGTATGTAGACTGATCATTATTTGCATTCTATGTGGTTCAGTAAAAGTTAATACAAGGGAAAATTTCTACTCAGAAAGTTTAACCTAGAGGCAAGGAAGGAGACGGCACCAAATAATAAGTGTGGAAAATAACATGGGAACAACAAGTGAGAAAAATAAAACCCTAAAGAACAATTCACTTTTTTGTAACCAAACACAAACAGACCTCTCTAGCCTCACCTGTGTGAAAAGAATACTGGTTTGATTGAATTCCTCAATGCCTTTTCTTAAAATATATGCAGAGCTCTGACTAAAAGCACAAAAAGAGACAGGATATTCAAGCTCTTCCTTAAATAAGGGACATCCACTTTATACTGCTAAGATTTGCATTTAAAAAAAAAATAAACAAGTGTGGACAATGATTACAGCACATTTGGAAGATTTCGTATGCCACAGGGTTTTTTTGGGGGGTATATTTTTACCTCAGCAGAGAGGCAAAAGCTGGCTTTGATAAACAAGGCTGGATCTTATTTCTCCGTTTCATTTCCACAGGTGCCACCCTATGAGACAAAAATAGTGTCAGTCAGAAACCAGAACCAGGCACCCCGCCCAAAGGGAAGCAAATGCCCTGGGAACTCATTCATGGCACCCGAGAGGTTCCGTGGCAGCCAACAAAAATCCTCCCTGCAGCCTTTGAGGTTTGCCAGGGCCTTCGCCGAGCCCCGCACACACCTGAGCTTCGTGGATGTGGGGAAGGGAGGGTGGGAAGGCTGAGGTCGTGAGAGCTCGGAAGGGATTCCAAGGGCAGTGATTCCAAGACCTTCAGAGGAGCAGGACCACGGCACCGCAGCAGCCGCAAACAGGCTCAGAAGCCAGATTCACCCCAAGGGCACGTGGCTATTTACCTCCTCCTGCCACATCTGCGGACGCACACCAGCAGCGAGCACCACACAGACACCTGACCTGAGCAGGATCCACAGGCCTTTGCCTTGGGATCCGGGGGACTCCACGAATCACATTCTCGAGAGTCATTTCGAACTGTCCTCTACTCTTGGCAGAGGTTAGGCCCTTGTGCGCTCCTGAATGGGGTACTTGTCTCCACACTTTCAAAGGGTATTGTGAAACATGACAGAGCACAACAAGGAACATAAATGAAAGGGGTGGTGGCTGGCAGGATCCAGACGTAGCCAGGAAAGAGGAAAACAGCTCAGGACAAAAACTTGTTAATGATCATCAACTATGTGAAGAATTGGCATTAAAAAAGAAAAAAACAATCGATTTTCTTCTATCATCAGCAGGATTCAAAATGAAGGAAATATCCTGAACCCTTCATGGACAGACACAATTTTCCATTTTTGTGGGTAGAGAATCCCCGTAGGTAGAGCTGCTAGGTTTCTGAACTATGAGGCTAGTAAACTCCTTATGCAGGAAAACACCTTTTGTGAATACCACAACGGCAGGGACTCCCTGATTTATACATAAATATGGTGGACCAGCATGCGAGACTATAAAATCTCAATTATGGGAGAAAATGAAGTATATTATTTTATTTCTCATTAAATATCGAAAACAAACTTCTAGGATATCGTGAAGACAACCTTTGGGCGGCATTTTACAAGCAAAGCACAATGACCTGTCTTCCTTTTTAAAGAAGCGAGTTCACTGCACAAACGCCTGCCTGAGCTCACATCCCAAGGTACTTGCTGTGATGTGTTAGCTTAGGAGTGACATGGTCACTTCATCCCGGATGACAAAAGACTGTGCTGATTTACACCCTTTCATCATCTTCTGTATCACGTTCCCTGTGAGCAACAACAGGACTTGTAGGAAGGCAGCGATTTAGCAAGCTTTTTGCTTTCTCTTCTATTTTTGTCTTCCACTACCAAGGGTAGGACGGAGAATGTGGCAACGGCGTCGGGACAGACCCCTTTGACGTAGCCCTCATTTAGTCTATAATCAGACTTCAAAATTCTCTAGCCCGATGTGGGTCCAAAGCCTAAAACGCTAGGGCCAAAACTACCTTCCCGACATTGAGTTTCGCAGTGGTCATTCGCCTCACGTCCTTCCATGAAAAGCATTACAATTAGTTTTCAGTCCAGCGGTAATGAAATCAAATGCAAAAGCGTCGGTGTTTTTTCATCGAGTAAGCCCAAGTTAGAAACGCAATTTAAGACACAGCATGCAGCTACTGAGGAGGCTGAAGCAGGAGAATCGCCTGAACCCAGGAGGCGGAGGTTGCGGTGAGCCGAGATCGCGCCATTGCACTCCAGCCTGGGTAACAAGAGCGAAACTCCCTCTCAAAATAAATAAATAAATAAGTAAGACACAGTATGAAACACTGGGAAAAAATACTGAGTCTTTGTCAAAGACAGGAAGTGATGAGATTTATTTTAGCATACTTACGTACTACCAACCTGCTTGGGATTTAAAGGTCATCAAAACTTTTTTCCTAGCCAAAGGACTGACAATGAGAAGAGTAAAAACCCTATTACAGAGGCTTTCTCTTCCGTAAAACTATTTGTGCCTCTTTTTTATATGTGATATTTCAAGCCAAAGCTATTTCAAAAGATGCGCATTATCATCATTCACCAAATATTTTTAAATAAAGGAAACCATTTGTAATATCTATATTTTACCAATCATCTCTTATGCAAGCATTTTAGGTTCTAAAAATTAAGTACCACTGAGCCCAGCAATTACTCCATTAACTCAAGCAGATGATCTATTGCATAAATAAAAAATGTTTTATGTCCCAAAGATGGTTAACACCATAGCTTCACTGGAAAGTCAAGAGAAAGTAGGTGTTGCTTGTCAAAAATTTACATTGCAGGCCAGGCGCGGTGGCTCACACCTTTAATCTCAGCACTTTGGGAGGCCGAGGCGGGTGGATCACGAGGTCAAGAGATCGAGACCATCCTGGTCAACATGGTGAAACCCTGTCTCTACTAAAAATACAAAAAATTAGCTGGGCATGGTGGCGCGTGCCTGTAATCCCAGCTACTCAGGAGGCTGAGGCAGGAGAATTGCCTGAACCCAGGAGGCGGAGGTTGCGGTGAGCCGAGATCGCGCCATTGCACTCCAGCCTGGGTAACAAGAGCGAAACTCCGCCTCAAAAAAAAAAAAAAAAATTCCATTGTTAGAGATACAATCTGTAAGATCCTGGAATGGTAAAATCCCAATTTACAATGGAATCCAAGAAAATATGCCAAACGTTACAAGGGTACAAGTTTTTTTTAATAGGACCCCTCTACCATAATTAGTGGGTTTGCGAGAAAGACAAGGTTGAGAGTTATTTTTAAGTAACAAAATTAAACTTACCAATAGACGTTTGTTCCCCATAATATACAATGCAGTACGTAATAGAGGAAGACAGCACTCAGGATAATGGCCACAAGATACCCTCTCATGGCTGGCTTGCCTGAAACACAAGGAACAAGGTCCAAAGCAAAGGCCAGGCTGTTACACAAACGGACTTTCACAATAACTCAAATATAAGCATTATTGGAAAACATACAGAAAGGGAGATATGGGATAAAATGAGGTAGGCCTGTAATTTTGGAAATATTAATATGCAAAAAGATAATGCTTTTCCTGTCTCTCCTCTTAACAGCACAACGTGATGTACATTTAGGCCAATAAACAGTTCCATGGTCTCAAAGACAGAGGCTTCCCTACTACTTTCTTATGTTAGAGAAGAAAGAAAAAAATTCTTCCAGAACAAAATTTTACACATCTATTCCATATCCAAAACTTTTTTCACAGACATTAAAAACTTCTATTTTCTCTCTCAGTAGAAAGTGAAGAACCGCCTTAAGCTGTGAATAAACATTTCTTCAGTGCTTGTAATGATGTTAAAATGTTATACATTTAATTTTTAAAAGTTCTTTTCCTGAGTTTTAAAAACCGAGGAAAAAAGCTACTGAAAAAACATTTCCCACATCCACAATTTTTACATACTTTTAGGTCCACCTATTTGATTTTTCAGCATCATAGTACAGATATATTCAACTAATTACTTGCTTGCTTTGTATTGACAATATCGTTCATCACACATCTGTAGATAGACAAAAACCTTGACACAATCCTCTCTAAAACGTAAGCCTTTCTAGAATATATTTTAAAAACCTATAAAACCTGTTTGTTTAGTTTCTTGTTTTGCTTCAAAGGAAAAAAGAAAAAGTTTCCACTGTCTTACGTAATTACAGGTAAAAGACAAATTCAATATACGGTTCCATAACAGATCGATTTCAATGCATGTGATTTTAAAAAGGTATACCACTTCCCCGTCTCCATTACCAAGTTTCTAGTTCATCTCAACAACTGCATGCACCACCCCTTTCACTGCTATCCACGTCCATTAACCTTAATCATGGTGATGCAGGATAGAACCTGGCAGTCTGGTTGAATAAATTTCCAAGTAATCTGGCATCGCCTTCCTCTTCATGGTAAATACGTTCAAATGGAAATCTTAAAATGAACCACTCCCTTGCCTTCATAAGTAGAATATAACAAACATAATTTAAACTTTTCTTGATGATATGGGGTCAGCTTAACAAATACCATTGTTCTGGGCTTTCTTACACTTGAAGCCTTCTGCAGCTAATGGGTGTGGGGGGCTATTTGCTAAGCAGTTCTAAGCTGGCATGATTATCTAAGTTGCTTTTCACTCCTTTCTTGCTGTCAGCTGTTGCTTCTCGCTGCTATTAACGCAGTCACCACCCCCAAGCGCCACTATTATAAATTAGTTAGAAATGAAAACTATGTTGGGAGAAAGCAAATAAGCAAGTTAATGAGCAAACTTTAGTTTACACATACTTCTAATTAGGTGTACGTAAGCCCTGGGAAGGGTCAACACTGGTTGGAAATCAGCAGACGAGATTCACAGCCTAACTCCACATCCGGTGTGGGGAGCCTCATCAGTCTAACCTCTGCTGACCTGAAAGTCCTCACATGTTTACAAGTGAGAACACATCATCTACCGCTTTGGGTCATTACACTGTCCTGGAAGGTAGTTTAGCATGGGCCAAAGTAGTGATAACGTCTTCTTAAATGCTCAAATTAAACATTTAAGGTTCCGGGCCGGGCGCGGTGGCTCAAGCCTGTAATCCCAGCACTTTGGGAGGCCGAGGCGGGTGGATCACGAGGTCGAGAGATCGAGACCATCCTGGTCAACATGGTGAAACCCCGTCTCTACTAAAAATACAAAAAATTAGCTGGGCATGGTGGCACGTGCCTGTAATCCCAGCTACTCAGGAGGCTGAGGCAGGAGAATTGCCTGAACCCAGGAGGCGGAGGTTGCGGTGAGCCGAGATCGCGCCATTGCACTCCAGCCTGGGTCACAAGAGCGAAACTCCCGTTTCAAAAAAAAAAAAAAAAACATTTAAGGTTCCACTAAGAATAACATCATTTAGCCGGGCGCAGTGGCTCAAGCCTGTAATCCCAGCACCTTGGGAGGCCTAGGCAGGCAGATCACAAGGTCAAAAGATCGAGACCATCCCAGCCAACATGGTGAAACCCCGTCTCTACTAAAAATACAGAAATTAGCTGGGCGTGGTGGCGTTCGCCTGTAGTCCCAGCTACTCGGGAGGCTGAAGCAGCAGAATTGCTTGAACCCGGGAGGCGGAGGTTGCAGTGAGCCAAGATCGCGCCACTGCACTCCAGCCTGGCACCTGGCGACAGAGTTCTGTCTCAAAAAAAAAAAAAATAACAACATCATTTATGCAAAGATCCAACAAAGATAAAACTTACCAGTATCGGCAATTTTTTCAATATATATTTACATGTAAGACAGTATACGAAGGTCTAGGGAAAGAAGTCAGTATTTACAATTCAAAATTCCTCTATATTCTCCAAAACATACTCTTGGGGCAATTTATGTATTATTCTACAGAACATGCAGGCAGGTGTAAGCGAGACTTTTGTTAATTGTTCTGTTGCTTTTCATTCACTAATATGTGGTGTAACTGAAAACAAAGAACTGTGAGAGAATGTTCTTTTTCAAACAATAAAATGAACCCACTCTTGAACACAGCTACTGCATATACCACCTGAAAAACACTTAGGAAGTTTAGGCACTCTGGTATTTCATGTACAATTCACAGCTTCAGTACTCAAGTTGCAAAGGAGACGGGCCAGCCAGGATATCCTTGTGATAAACATGATTCCTCTGCTTGCTCACAGGAAAATACTTCCACAAATAAACCAGTTCTCTCATATTCTATAAATGGAAGGATCATTCTGCTTTGAGCAAAAGCCTTCCAAGAAAACCCTGTTAGAATTTAAGAGGATATCTGCTTTTAAGAAGGCATGAGGCCCTTTAATATAGCTTTAATTACCAAAACAAGCAGTTTTCAAGATCTTGGCATTAAACATGACCAATGGCAGCTTTGTGGCTGCAGATGCTCCTAAAATCAGGGTCCCTAAAACATCCTTTACAAAAAGTGAGGGTAGAGGATGACAAGGGTTTTGGAAAGGACTCACTACCAGAGGACAAATGTTCACATATTCTCCAACTACGATATGTAACCCAATGTACAAGTAACCTATATACGCCAGATTAAACTCAATCTTGGCAACGGTTTCGCTTTGCTTTAATGGTAAAAGTATATTTTATTCTGCCAGGCGCGGTGGCTCACGCCTGTAATCCCAGCACTTTGGGAGGCCGAGGCGGGCAGATCACGAGGTCAAGAGATCGAGGTCATCCTGGTCAACATGGTGAAACCCCGTCTCTACTAAAAATACAAAAAATTAGCTGGGCATGGTGGCGCGTGCCTGTAATCCCAGCTACTCAGGAGGCTGAGGCAGGAGAATTGCCTGAACCCGGGAGGCGGAGGTTGCGGTGAGCCGAGATCGCGCCATTGCACTCCAGCCTGGGTAACAAGAGCGAAACTTCGTCTCAAAAAAAAAAAAAAAAAAGAAAAGAAAAAAGAAAAAAGTATATTTTATTGGTGTGGCGCATTAAAGTTCATAGAAAAACTTTTATATGTCCATACCCCCATTTAAGGCTCAAAATAAGCTTATTAGATGTGTGTGAAGGTATTGTCTTCTTGATGAATGAGAAAAACTGAAGACAAGGTTGAGTTATCTGAGGTCACAAAGTTCAAGGAAGACAGAAATAGATCCATAGGTCAATCATTTCTTTCTCAGAGGTCTATTCCTGGTGTCATCCTGTCTCTCAAGATAAAAAGCACAAGGCAAATCTAAAAGAGATAACTCCAATCGGAAACTTCCCAATGGTGTTTCCATTGGTGTCTTGAAGTCTGGAAGGGTAAATTCAGGTATTGGTGAAAGGCGGTGACTCCTAGGGCGGGCTCACGAGCCTGCACCAGGCAGGGACTTGTTAACATGCACACTTAATCTCAATCTCTGGGGCTCAGGAATGGGCATTTAAACAGTATCCACCAATTTGATTCTAATGCACAGTAAAGTTTGAGAATCACTGCTTTAAGATACGCAACAGAACCATGGAAGGATATACTGAAATACAGAGCCTGTAAGAGATACAGCTCCCATAACTAGATGCTTTATGTTTTTTTTTAATCTTAAATGCTTAGCACGTGGTACATGCTCAGTGAATAACAACTAATTAGAAGCATTACGATGTATGAGTGCTTAGCCTGTGCGGAGGCATGTGATCACTGCTTTTGTGTCCTGACAACCACCTTGCAAAAGGAGTAGTAGACTCTCAATTCCCATTTTACAGAGGGGGAACCGACACTCTGGGAGAAACAATGACTTTGCTGAGCTGACAAGTAACAGAACGAGGACTCCAATCTGCCTCTATCAGGCCACAGCTCATGCGTCTTACCTCCCGCTAGATGTGAGCTTTCACAAATGAGCATGGTCCCTCCTTTTGCCATCAGACTAAACATTACTCCATAAGCAATATTAATTCTAGTAATTGATGAAATGGAGATAAAGCTTATAGTACTTTCTTTTTTTTTTTCTTTTTTTTTTTTTTTGAGACGGAGTTTCGCTCTTGTTACCCAGGCTGGAGTGCAATGGCGCGATCTCAGCTCACCGCAACCTCCGCCTCCTGGTCTCAGGCAATTCTCCTGCCTCAGCCTCCTAAGTAGCTGGGATTACAGGCACGCACCACCATGCCCAGCTAGTTTTATTGTATTTTTAGTAGAGACGGGGTTTCACCATGTTGACCAGGATGGTCTCGATCTTTCAACCTCGTGATCCACCCGCCTCGGCCTCCCAAAGTGCTGGGATTACAGGCTTGAGCCACCGCGCCCGGCCATGCTTATAGTACTTTCAATTCAAACTCAGCTGAAATAAAAGCCTGCTCCTCCCAACCATGCTAGCATTGTTTATAAAAACAAAACAAACTCTATGGAGAAACACTTGAAAAAAGGTCAGGTTTTTTTTAGACTCTCCCAAACCAAAGGGAGCCTGTTTTTCCAAACAGCTAGG